TAGCCAAGAAAGAAACTGGCTACTTTCCTTTGGGGTCTTTTTACCCTAGCTGCCTAGCCAATTTCTATCTCCTATTCTTATCATACCACCCTCTGAAGAGGCTTACCCAAATTGCCATTAGGGAATTGGGACGCAGACTGCTCTGGCTTCCTCCATGCTGAACAGGGACACAGGGTGAGGCAATTGGGGTACCCCCTTTAGTGGGTCTATCTAAAAGACTCCAAAATTACATAACTCTTAATTATAGGGAGAAAAGAAAGGTGTTTGACTGGTGGCTGGGAGATGTGAAGGAAACGTAAAGGTAAGAGTAAGGGCAAGAGTAGTTAGCGTAAAGGTAAAAGTAAGGGCAAGAGTAGTTAGAATTACAATTTTTAGGCAGGGAACCAGAAAATGTCCAAATTAAAATCCATTGGAATTTCTTGATGAGGGCTCCCCAAAGCATCCATCTAACAGGTTTCTCCTCATTTTTCTTTTGTCTCTTAAGGCTGGAATGATGATTGATGAACTCAGGATTTGTTGTCAGGCACTTTGATAACTATTGGAGTGGCTAGAATCAGCTCCCTCTTAAATGGCCTTTAGATAGGGAGAGGAAAACAAATTTAGCCATCATTTTAGAACAATAGTGAGTTCTTTACCTCAGCTGCAGGTGGGTACTACAGTATTGTAGACCAAGATTTAAAGTCCTACACCTGAGTAGCACTGTCCTATTAGGAACAAAATTACCAATGAGAAATAATTGTCTAAATCACATCTCATAAGAACTTAAGTCTGATGTCCGAGATGTGTAATCCCTTGAATTCTTAAAGAAATATATTGATGACTTTAATCTTTTGTTATACTTTCCCCTTGGGTGTTTAAGGCCATACAGTTGGCCTTAAAATAAATCAATATATTATTACTTTTAAGGTCATATGAGGATCTGTTTCTCAGGGATAACATGGGCTTGCGGGGAGCCCCTGGCTCCTCAGGCTTTTCTTTACCAATTCCATCTACATGAAGATAAGCCAAGAGGTCTTGCTTGACCTGGGCTTCGCTTGGAAGCATGGAGGAAATGTTTCCTCTGTGTTGACCCTCTTCTTTGCAGACTGGACACTGGTTCAATCTGGGGTCTCCATGGCCTCCCTGAACAAGAGGACAGGTGACTCACCAAAGTTATAGGACATTTCTCAGAGAGATGCTTCATAGCCCCAGGAACTTGTTTGACCTTGGAGGGCAAGGCAACAAAAAATTGTCCCTTTAAGTCCCTCTGACCAGATTAGTATAGGCCTCAAAGTCTGGCTATTAAACATCCAAGAAGGTTAGTTACACCAGTCTGGTACATTAATTACCATGTGCTATGTAGGCAGAGCTTGGCAAAACTCAAACATTTTTAAGTAAACCTTGATGAGATATCCTTAAACTAGTTGACTAAGCTATGACCTTAGAAATTTTAAGATCTTTTTTTTCATGCTCGATAAATCATAACAAACCTACATAGACCACCATCACTTGCTTAGGCTTTTTTATTTTTAATAAAATACCTCCATTCCTGTATCCTTCTAACATCTTTTATCTTACCATTCTCTTTCTTAATAACCATGAGACATAATAATATTAACAAATAAACTTTCCATCTGTTGTGAGAATTCTTTTGGGGGCATATTAAGCAATGTTTTTCCCTTTTTTAGGTTGTAGTATCAAACCAATGTTTGATTACATTAAAGTTTTTCTGGGGAACCACTAAATATATTGAACTTAGTTACAGAGATGACTGAGGGGTTACTGGGGTATGTGAGTGACCTGAGAGTATTTACACTGGAAAGCCTTAACAAGCCAGCATGGATCAAGCCTTTTCTTCCTAGCCTTTCCCAGATAATATACTTTATTCCTCCCCAAACCCAGGAGACCATGTTTGATTAGGGCCATATTACATACAGTTGGTTGGGAAGAGCAGCTGGATACTCAGGTGAGTGTCCAATGACCCTGTTTACCCCTCCTCCTTTAATTAGGTACTTAAGTCCACAAGTCCAGTTGTGATGATCTTTTGTTATTTGATACAGCTGTAGTCATGAAGATGGCAGTTTGACTCAGAAGAATGTAGTGTGTAGCATCATGTTATTAAAAGAACCTGGATCTAAATTTTATATATAT